GCCGCAACTCTAGACATCCCCCCGACCATACTTATGCTTTTGGAGACATCGGGCGTTTGGTCACATTGTTTCACTTTTTCTGTCCACAGTATGACACTGACCAGCTTTCCAATTTCGTTTCGAGGATTTCACCTCGCTCCTCTCCGGAAGCATTCCGAACCTGACTACTTATTACAATGGAGTAGTAGGGAGAATTGAATTCAAGCATACGATCAGTTTTTTTGTATCCCAAGCTTCCCAGCTTTTTCAGTTCACTTTTTTAACTTTGAAAAGTCGAAGCGAACCGTCCACTACTCCAATTCGACCGCTTGCCGAAGGACTCAGTAAACACGGGGAGTGGATCAAAGAAGCAGTTTTAACTTNGCACACGATCAAAGCATTCACGATTGCTTTCCTCGGCTTTTGCTGCTTTATAGAACGCTTGCCGACCAACTCATCCGAATATCAACTATGGCACAGCATCCGAATTCCGTAAACGCCAGCCCACCAGCAGCCTGAGAGATGACCTTGGAAGTTGTAAATAGAAAAGTATATGGAAATGGAAGTGAAACACCTCGGCGGCACACTAATCAACGCCGTCTGGAGGAACAGTGGGCAGATCGTGTAAAGGCACAGCGCAGTTGCACCATGCCATCATTGAGTTTTCCAACTTTGATCTCATCGGGCTAACCTCTATCTTTTGGCATCACCCTCCGCTTTATGAAGCGGCGATCATTGGGGAGATAAATTTCTTAAAATGGCAACAGTAGTCTTTATCATTTTCCCAAACAATCTTCATGAATGAAGCTCAGCCATCAGTATGCGTGCTAATCAGACTGGTTTTAGACCGGGTAGAGGCTACATCGACCACACGTACACTATTCGCCGAATTCAGGAGACAGGCATTCCTTTCGTATTCCCACCGTTTCTGTCTTCATTGGTCTAAAAGCATTCTTCCACTCAAGCGACCATAGCTTCGACAGGTACACAGAAGTCTCAGTTGGCGTTCACCTATTGGAGTCATCTGTGGCGCTGTCGCAACATTCGATTGGCTGTAAAGGATCGAGTGTGTGCTGCAACAGATCGGTTAGTACGGCTTTACGGTGCGAAGACTCGGTCATTACGGGAACAGGACAAAGATAAACTGTCATTGTTCAAGCACTGGGGTCTACGTTGCATTGCATAGGTCTGTTGGGCTACCGGACAAGCAGAGCTAAGGGGTTAGGCACAGAGTTTTAGATAATTGCGGTAGCGCACCTGAATGATTGACCAACTCACATTGACTACGTTCATCGGGGCCTGCGTTACTCCTTTCACCCGATAGGCTCCCTCGGCATGCCAAACCTGTGTTGAAGCTGCTAGTGAAGTGATCAAATTAAGGCCTGGCATGAGGGTATGAAAACCCTGACTAGTGAACTCGGTCATGTGGAAAGCGTTAGGTTTCCCGGAATCAGAAAAATCGCTAGCTGGAAGAGTGAGCGATTTGACCGAGTAGTGCGAACGGGGGCGCTTTTGCACCTGATTAGTGTCTTTGGAAATACGGTCACTGCTCTATGTATTCAGAATTATGTAACACATGAACGCTGTATACTTTTGCGTACATTAGTTCTGATGATTGGTTTCCATAATTGTATTCACTGCAAACAAACGAACCCGATATTATGGGAATTAATGTGCAAAGTAAACCACGCGTCTCTCGACAGCGACCGATTTTAACCTCCTCTCCCGCACAAACCTTTGGTCATTCTCAATTTCCTCGTTTCGTTCTCCCCTCTCTCATTTTTCACCACCCCCCTGCCCACCCGCGCACATTCAGAATCCGCGAATCGCAACTCGTTTTAGTCTACACCGATTTGGCGTTCGCCGAGGATGTTCGGAATTTCGATTTTCCCAGTCTTCCAATCACGTATGTGAAAAAGGAGGACCAAGTATCGACGGGAGATGGCAGTTCGGTGANTCATCCGGCCCGTCTGTGGAACAGCTCCAGGCAATGGATCGTTTTGTCGATGCGATGATGCTAGGTTCGCGTCAGCGCGACCAGGACAAGGTCACCGGTCAGGCTGAAACTGATGCGTCCGATAAGGACGATGATGATGAAGATGAAGAGAATGAGGACGAGGAATGCGATAATGTGTTAGTGCTTACCTTTTTGGGATTCTTCCTCTTCTAGTTCGTTTTTTTCCACTCATAACTTGACCAAGGAACTCGCTCTTTTGCTTCTGGATCGGTGCCCAATAGGTCTATCGGATCGGTTAATATAGGTTCTTGACATACAAATCTAGTGGGTGTACTATGCTATGAATGCAAGTACAAGAAATTGCAATTGAATGACACCCTATTTTGATCTTAGGCGGTGATTCAAATTGGTTTGCAAGTGAGGTGTTGGGGGATTTTGAAACAACGCACTGGCGAATAGGCTCGTTTTCCGTGATTCGTAGTCCCGGGTGCAATGGTTTAGTTGTTTTCGCTGTCGTACATTTGGGACCCTATGAACCGAAATTCGAGTCCCGTCACCGCCACCCAAGTTTGGTGGTAGGCAGCCTAACCTAGCGGGGGCCCTATGCGGTTCGCCACTCCAAGTCCCGGGTTTTGGGTTATCGATTTTCATGAATGAACAGCAAATCTTCGTGGCCAAGGGGCCTCCCCCGTCTTCTGTTCACCACTTCTAAGTGTGTAATAAAAAAGTACATCACGATGTATATATCACTACTTGGGGATAGGATTGTCTTGTCGGATGCCAGCCACAACAGAGGCGGGGTGCACAAGCCCTCGATGTGTGCCCAAAAATAATTTGAGCAAATGTTCAAGTTTTCCCTTACCCTCCCCCCGCCCCAGGCGCGCGCGCGCACACACACATCACGAGTAATCTCGATGATCGGATATGCGGACCAACAACTATGTGATCATGCTTCCGATTTCCGGTCTCATGATGAGATTGTTTCTAGTAATCTATGGTAATTTTATTTTCTTTATCTCAGACAATTTTACTTCCAAGCGGTGATATATATTGTGAAGTATTGGCACGAATACGAATAACTGAAAATGAGCTTGTTCGCCACTCTGTGTTGTTTTGTTTGAAATTTGATCTAGGGTGGATTATTCAGACAATGTTTGCATACCCGCGTATGGTTCTAGAGAAGGTAGAACAAGCAAACCATTGCAACCAGACCATGTTTGTACGAGACAACAGTGAATAACTTCAGGATCTCGACCAAGAGACGAACCTTGTGAACAAAACGGCAAACTCCACACAATAATAAACGGCTTATTATTCGCCATGGTTGGGCTGGGTTGTTTTGTGATTTTGAATTAGCTTATCTTAGTCCTCATTGATTTGAGCATCCTGCTCATGTAACTTGTTTGATTAGTTTCGTTATTAGTCAGTCGGTCAAACACACACACACACACACACACACACACACACCTTCGCTGCGATGTTTAGCTGACATCTCGTCTGTTACTCTAACCCCATAATAGTGTTGACAATACTGAATAACCATCTTGGTTTATTTTCGACGAAATTCATATCACGTGATCTCGAAAATCGTACGCTCACTTCTGCACGATTCGAGCAGGATTTGTTTTAGTTCCTCAGTACTAGTGTGATACAAATCCACGGTCGGATCTATTTCACGCTCCAGTGCTGCGGGCAGTATCAGCTGAGCTATAAGGTCATGAGGTGATTCTCAACTAGTCCACAAATGCTCACCCTTTCGAAAAGGACAATTGTACCAAAACGATTGATTGGACAAGTCAGGGACATCCTTCTCGAACATTTCCCCGCCGAACTATACGAGAATGGGTGAGGGTGAGGGAAGTTCATTTGTGTCTGTCAACAGACACGGTTAGTTCACAGTCAGGTTCTATTTGACCTTACAATCCAGCTAGTAAAGCACCTGCGCTGCTCAATCGATCGTCATTTGAAAATCCAGCCGAGGTTGCGGAACACGAGTTTTGTGAGGTAGGTACAGTTTAACTGTTTATCCTCTGCGCTAAGTCTGTACAACGTAGTCCCCATTCATATTTTGAACGAACCTCCTCAAATCGTTCAAAATGCATTTCTGAGGGCATCTGTCGGTCTACTACATTGCTGCAATTCAGTTATCGTTCTCAATATGATTTGGTTAATTAAGCAGGCATCTCTTCGGTTACCCCTTTCAGCATCGATTTAAAACCCGAACGTGTTCCCAACCCGTGGATTCAGCGACTGTTCACCTGTTTTCGACAGCGTGGACTTTATCCAGCTCAGCCTCTCATCCCATCCACTTCACATCAGTCCTCCTCACAATCCGGTCGATGGCTCTCGGCTCAGAGTCTATCCGGATTGGATAGACTAATTTCACGGTTGAATCCGGACTCGGAAACCGGGCTGGAAGGAGTGCTTGAAGCACGTCAAATGTTGTTGGACAGTTTGCCTCCGCTGTCTCCAAAACACAAACCAAACGAAGAGAGTGAACCGGAAGGAGCAGCGGCCAAACGCCGTCGTTTAATGGCCGAAGAATTGTTCGGTTTAGACATGAACTCGGGAACAACGGAGGCGAATCAGTCCACAACCGGAATGGATCAGACAAGCAGTCTACCATCTGCAGCTGGTGATGAACCTGACGTGAACGCGCTTGTTTCTGGTGACCTGGTGGGCAAATTCGAACATCTAGTTTCACAGGGAAATGTAGAAAGAGGTTTGTTTACGGAATCCTGTCAGTGTTTATGGTTTTTGTCTCTCTCTCTGACAGGATTGTTTGTTCTTGCGAATATTCTGTTCCATCAAAAATCCGCAGTTTCATGCCGTCGAACTGTTTAACTGTGCTCATGCTTCTCCTCTGTACCAATTTGAATTTCCAGTTTCATTTCCATGCGCCGGTTTTGGTTGCCCATCTGAATGAATCAGTAGGAGAATGATCGGAAGGTAGGGTCGAAGAGAAATTGGAGATTTGCAGTGGACCGCGGGTTGCGAAGAACTTGAGAAGATGCATGAATGCCTTTTTGTTGTGACACTCAACCATATCATTCAGTGTATGTAACCACCACTTACAATCATCCCGAGTTCCCTATCCAGGGATCCTTGTACGAGGTATGTGAACGAGTCTCTTGGTTAGGGTTTTCATGCCTTCGTTCCCACTTGCCCCGGCAAACATCACGCCCCGTGGCAATCTACTTGGTGACATGCGTAACACATGCCCCAACCAATGTAATCTATGGAGGTCGACCACTTGCTCCAGTGGGTGACCACGGTTACCCAAAAAACTCTGTGCCTAACCACAGCATTGCTTGTCTAGCTGCCCATCCAGATTCGTGGAATGCGGCATAGATATTCTATCTTTATCCTGTTTTCCTAATGGCCACGGTTCTGCACCGTATTGTACAACTGGCCGAACTACCACAGGATATACTCGACCCTCCACAGACAGTCGAATGTTGTGACGTCGCCACAGATCTCTCAAGTCTGCAAATATCCATCGAGCCCTCGCCGGGTGAGATCTAGTGTCCCAATTAACAAAACTAATCCACTTGGCCTATCGCTTCCCCTGTTAGAGTGAGTTTGGTTGCTGAAACAACCCAGTCTGGTAAGAGCATTTTAATCTTCGACGGGTCAAAACCTATACTGAATATCGCTACTTTGGAACTCAAGCTATTCCGAGAAGCCTGCCGTTCCGATTAGATTCGAGAGGTCCCCATACACATTCCCTCTGGCCGTTTGACCTAAACGTAGTGCACAACAAAAAATATACGATATTGATGGATAGGTGGTGACGCGAATCACCTCTCACCCCACATGTAACCTTCCTCTCTTGCACCTCATTGTTTTACCGCATGAAGGCCACTTACTTGGTCGGCGCGTGTTTGCTTTCAATTTCCGCACGCTTGCTTCGGCTTCCGCATCTCCTCTTTAGGCTCCGGAGGTTTACTCACAATACAACCGTCCTCCGGTTCATGAAGTGTCTGGTTTTGTTTTCGTCCGAACGCACGCTTGCGACATAGTCGTTTGTTGCGGTTAGTAGCATCTAACTCACCTACAAAACATCGAATCATTGGACCGGCTCTGAAAAAGCCGTCTATCCAAAAGTTACCCGGTGTTGCGAACAAGGTTGTGACGAAAATACACATCCTGGGTACAAGTATATAAATGAATAGACAAAAGTTTACCGGATATGCATGCCTGACGACCGCAAAGAACCGCGAAACCGGTCTTGTGCTGCCAGGGAAATTTTGTCTGATCAATCATATGTTAGTTGATTGGACATAGTCGTGTTATCCCGAGGTTCCGGTAAAACCGCGCCCACAAGTTGATACAGCTTCATATTATTCATTGACGCTGGAAAGTTTTTTCAGATATTTTCCAATTTTCGCTAGTTCACGTTACTGGAAATTTGTCCGTACATTTATTTTTACGAATCTGTTTCCGTTCATGCATAATTTTAGATTGTTTTTGTTTCTAGTTAGTGGCTTGAAAAATTCTGATTCCATCGTAGCATTTTACTTTTGCAAACATACGTTTTCCTTCAGGCGTTCTCCAGTCTTATTTTTATAGTCGGTTCCTCAACCCCCGTACCAAATATTCGCAGTATATCATGACCAGACCCGACCGTAAGTATTCCAAAGACAGCGAAGCACTCTGGGTGCAAATCAGAGCACCGGAGTTCATGCCATAGAATCCGGAAGCGTTCCTCGAACTTTTGGAATCGCGATTCTATGAAGTCCGTATCACCGGGCAACTGTCGAGCTGCCATAAGCTTTTGTCCACGATACCTCGAGACATCCTTCGCAATTTCAGGGATACATACGTGAATATCCCCACGTGTTCGTTCTCCCGGCCGAAGTTTTCTCCTGAGTTTTTAGGTCGGAACCTGAAAAGGAACTCAAGGAAGAATGTCGAAACAGCCCTTGGTGGAGCTGATCGGTTAGACAAAGACCAACAATTTAAAAGGGATACGGTTTTTTATTGGAGAAGGGATTATGGATATATGTGTGTAGAAAAAAATGGCCTTTAGAGGGAAAACTGATAAATGACAGAACGATTTTTGGGGTTTTGACTCTTTATGCATAGACATGTGAAAACATAGGTGAAGAAGAAGTATCTATCGTAGTCTAACTGAGTCTGTACGCTGGTAAAAGTGTGAAAACCTTCTACAAGGCAAAGCGTACAGGCAGCTCTAAAGGACTCTCCCGTGACTTGTGATCCGATGGGGAGGGTCGGTATCAAGAGGTGCCTACTCATAGGGTGTCGGTGTGTGTGTGTGTGGGGGGGGGACGTTAGCAGGACTTATTGGGATTGGAGTTGCGGATGGGGGACCATTGGCGGGAGGGACGGTTTCCGCCAAATGCGCCGGTTTGACCCGGTTGATGCTGACAGTTTCACCTCCACCGTGCACGGTGCCTGTGAATAACCGACTGGACTAATCCAAACATTCATCGTTCAAATTGATTGAGTCATTCACACAAGGTGCTGATCGTCGATCTTGTAATTCAGGACTAAGGTTTTTCAGTCCCAACCCGACATTCTGCTGTTCGAGTCCTGACCGGGACACAGGAAGTAAGCGCACTGCTGACGAGTCCCCAAAACAGGACGAAACAACTGTTCAGTGCTCTTTGTCGGTTATCACCAATCTTTCCATCTCATTTAAAAAAACGTATATACAATCACAAAGCAGTAATGTACTGGGGTAGGAGGAGGAGGAGGAGGGGAGGGAGAGAGTTACAAAGTTGTAATCATTTGATTAAACTGATTACATAATACGGTCGTTCAGTTGTCTTTTGGTTTTCTGAACAACGATCGATTACGTCATACTGTCAGACCATAGCAACTTCGGTATGTGAAGTTTATAAATCATGACTTTTGTTGCAACCTTGTGATCGTTTGTTAATGTAGAAGCTTTAGAATGTATAATCTGAAAGAATTCTTCGGTTCAGTGGTCTTTTCTACCAATACATCTCTCTCTCTCTCACATCCATTAAGATGAATTCCGTGATGGCTAGTCACTCCAAATTTTTCATTTCCCATTCTCGACGCGCTTACGATACATGCACACCAAGCGCTTGCTTAACAGTTCGTCTCCGTGTCTTTTTTCTCAGTGATATACCCCTTCTGAAACTATTTCCCCCTGTCTTCCCTGTTCCTTATTCTAGTTCAAATTACCCCCTTCAAAATGAACTGAACAGTATTACTGAGATCGTAAACATATACCTATATGGCGTCCACTTGACGCTCTGTATTGTCAACACGTGTTTGAGCACGTCCACCCTACTGGAACAGTTACCGAAACCCAAAAGAACGCGACAGAAATACCGGGGCGCTCAATTAAGATAGAAATGAGACGTCTGAAGGAAACTTCAGTTGCTCCACTAACTCCGGCAAAGAGTTCGATTTTTGTGAGATCAGAAGGCGAAACTGCCTGAAAAGAGTGTAGATATCGATAGTCTTATTCATGGTCCCAGTGACGAGGGGATCTTAAAAGTATCATGTTTAACGACGGAGGACGTCACACTGTGT